CAAGTTTTGAGTTTTTTTTATCAATTTTTCAATCTTTCAGTTTTTAATAGCTTGAATCTGTGAAAGTTTCGGCAAATTCTAAAATCGTTGAATGTTTAGATTTGTAAACTTCGAGACTTTCGAATTTCTGGTGCTTTAAATTTTTTGAATCCTTGATTCTGGAATAAATTTGCAACTTTATAATTACATCGTGTATTTATGTATTGCATTTTATGGGCGGATTTAAATGGGCTGCGTTTAAATCTCTGTACATATTTCCGTATATTTTGTCTTATATTTGTCGCACGTGCGGTTTACGTTGCGGATTTGAGCACGTTTTCCATCGCTGGGAATCGAATATTAAGCTCTCCTATGTTGGCCAAGTCTCAAGTTACAAGACCCGATACCAATAAACAAGAATGAAATTCCCCCTCCCTGTCAGAACGAAATTCTTTCCCGGAACATCGATAATCCACCAGAGCTCCTTTTATCCTAAAATCACGGTGAAACATATCTGGTAGATACTACATGAGCAGGAGGCGCTAATAGATTACAGTAAAGCCGCGAGCGATTTACAAGTGCGAGAGTTCCAGCCAGCGAAGAAGCAAACTTAAAAAAACATTGCAGGATCCGCCTTCGGAGACAAAGGAGCTTCACGAAGTGAAGGAAGCTGCGTCGTCTTCGAAGGAGAAGGACGACAAGAAGAATATCGAGAAGGAGGTCAAGGAGCCGAAGGAGAAGACCGAGAAAAAGGCGGGCAAAGAGGACGAAAAGGAGAAGAAGGAGCCGGAAGCGAGCTTCGAGATCCTCCAGAATCCGGCGCGGGTTCTGCGTCAGCAGCTGAAGGTCATTCAGCCGATCGAGGGCGGCCATTACGTGCCCGTGAAGGATATTCAAATCGGCGGCATCGTCATGGTCAAGCACATGCAAACCGACACCGAAGAGGAACTCGTCGAGCCCGTCGCCGGTAAGTAATCGATTCTAAATTTATTGACCGAAGCGCTCGGGAAACTATTTAACCCCAAATTGAACCCGAAGAGAAAGATATTAAATTGCGCTTGATAGATAAAGAGAAAAAAGTAAGTCGGGAACTTTGTCGCAAAGAAATATCAGTTTGCGAATTTTAGTTATTACACATTTTTTTTTAATTTTTTAATCTACAAGAGGAAAAAGGTAGGAAAAAATTAACTCACAATTCATTGTCGAATCTTATTTATCTTCTGTACGTATTCAATATTTATTGATTGATTTATAGATTTTCGGAAATTTATCGTCACTTGTAAGTCCGCACAATTATAATTTCTATCTAAATCGAAGATTATTTATTATATCATATCGATTCGTTCGAAAAGAAGGAGAAATTTCAGCAGAGGAAAGTAATTAGTGTTATAGTTAATTACGACTTGAAATCAATACAAACAGCGAAGCATTTTAATCCATTTCTGCTCGAGTATCGAGCGTGTGTTCGGAAAGTGGTTTGAGAGGAGTTTCCGGTTTATTTCAGCCTTCGGACCGAAGCCCGAAGAGGAGAAGGAAGCCGAGCCACCCGAGCCATTCGAATACACCGAGGATTAAGAACATGCGTCACTTCCGCCATTCGTTATCGCGATAGAATTGCGATATGTTCGTCCCCCCCGTCACTTTCCCTTGATATGTCTCGCTCGTGTTTTTTTATACCTGTCGCGATCTTCTCTTATACGCGTGTCCGCCTAATCGGCGAAATACTCAACGAGCTTCAATAAAAGGCGTTAGAGTTATTCGTGTTACCAGTCGTTCAATCCTTGCAATCCTTTCACTTTTCTCCCATCGGTAAGAATTATAAAGATTAAACAATGAGCAGTTTGGTGATCTTTCATTTTCTTTATTCTTCAGGAGGAAAATAAATGAACTTTTATTTCAGAAGAAAATTTTTTTGTCAATAAAAATTTGCAAATTGTTCAAATATTTACATTTTTATGACTTGTTTCTTACAATTAGTTTAGCTTCACGTAGCAATTACGATATTGCACTTTGATGCGTTTGAGCGCTTTTTTTTTAAACTTATGTAATATAATCCATAATTCATCGTGTTCGTTATTAAATTCCGTGGCACTTGCGGGTTACACGAACCCGTATACATGAATCTTCCCTGAAAGACGCTTTCGTCTTCAGTCTTTGATCTCCATCGTCTGTAATGGTCAGCTCGTATTCTGACTCGCTCGTCTGATGATCGCGATGATCGAGCGTGAATCATAACGTCTGCTGGCGCCTGCAGAGGAAGGGACGCCTCCTCAAACCCTCCCCCTCATTGCAAGATTCCAGCCCGCGCAATCCGCCGCACGTGTTCCCGGAACGTGCGAATTCCGCTCAACGTCAGTCGATAACACTCGATGCGACGTAGGAACGGAGAGAAAGAGAGAGAGAGAGAGAGAGAGAGAGAGAGAGAGAGAGAGTGAGAGAGAGAGAGAGAGAGAGAGAGAGAGACAGACTCGGGGGAAGATGTCAGCGCGCTCTTTAATTTTCCACGTTGAGAGATTTAAAGGTGAGACGGGAGTCGGGAAATCGGGGGTTTCGAGGATTCGCGCTGTACGCTGCGAAATCATGGATCAAAATATTTCCGGCTCGGGGAACTTTATATTTTAAAATCCCGCGACTGTGCGTTAAAATCCCGTCAGATCAAATTGCTTCTCGGATAAGATAAAAATTCACAAAATCGCGGCTGATAATTGTTCAATCTAATAAAACTCCAAGTAACACAAATTGATATATAATTTACATCGACGTTTAACGTAATAGAATAAATAAAAAAATAGAAAAAAAAATTGGAATAGAATATAGAAATATAGAAATAGAAAATGGAAATTTGTTGTATGGGTGCGGAAGTCACGCAGCCCCGGGGGCAAATATTATTTAAACGCAATACAATACAATAGAAAATAAAAATTCTGAAATTTCGGTGTTGTTGAAATTGCAAAAAAAAAATACACACATATGAAAGCATCCGCAATGTAAATATTTCAAATTGTACAAATCGCTCTTCAATTATCGTTCTATTCGCATTTCATATTTCCCAAATCTGGATCTCAAACGCGCTTAAAATAAACGATTTCACGGAGGTAAATATGAACGAGATAGAATATATTTTTGTTGTCGCGCACGCAACGTCAGGGACAAATTTCACTACGGGTGTTGGACGGAATTTTGAATGAGTGTATAGGGCCGCGAAATTTGGATCAATACCCAAGGAAGGCAACGCGCTGGTAAATGGTGCTGCAAAGTTGCTGAAACTCGTCCGACAAACTCGTCGATGCGGTGCTCTGCGGCGCGGCACACTCAGGCTCGTCCCTCCCACTCTTGTACCAAGAAACGAAAGTAGTTTGCACATTTGCGAGAGCAGTTTGCAAGCCGTGGCAGCTTCTACGACGATGAACACGCTCGGGGTAAGAAAATAACCTGTTAGACGTGTATAGAGTACATCAACGAGGAAACCCATGAAGCCGGCATTTTCCACCGAATTTGCAGTCATGTTTTCGTTCACGGAAATTGAAGGCGACGCGTGTAATTACTTCGTTGTCGCGTCGCAGCCGGTGAATTTTCCGGCGTGCCATTTTTTACTTGCTTTAAATATTGTGCATTCTCTGCGACTTAAGTGAAATATAAAAAATTAAAAAAAAAAAAAAAAAAAAGTGCAGCGACACGGCAAGGAATAAAATAAAAATGGGAAAATGCTAAAATATAAAGTGAGCTAGAAAATTTCATGATAGAACAAAGATAAAGTAAGCTGTAAAAAATAATAACGTCGGATGAAATGTAAACTGTGTAAAAGTAGTGTGCAATTTTTTGAAATGCGCGTTACTACACACACACCGTCGCGTCAGCGAAACTTCGACGATGATGTTTAACGCAATTTTCATCGGAATGATTACATTAACATAAATACGGCGGAAATCCCGGTGTGGTTAAAACGTCAGTGAAAAATTTATTTCGAAACAGCGGACAGCTGTTTTATAACGTAGCTTTCGCTTTATTTGTACGTTAACTTAACTCACTCGGCCGTATTTTTGACTCCGACTACTCCGGAAACGAAACCACCGCCGATGAAAAACGATGTCGCGCGACACAGTTGCAAGTATAAATCCATTTCGCTCTTATCCCGCATCGGGAACGATCGACGAACGAGAGATGATAAACTTCCCGTGAGAGATGATAAACTTTCGGCCATCGAGATTCGCTGCCTAAGAGAAATTTTGCAAGCACTGTTTCGTGCGTTATGGAAAATTGAGAAAAATACTGAGCAAGATACAGCAAAAATTTACAGTCCGTCAAAAAGTCTTCGCATATCTCATTAGAATTAATTTGGCGTTGTATTTTAAAATAATAAAATGATAAAAAAATAATATTCAGGTTACTACATTCAGAAACATAATATTTATCATCGGAACAAACTAAAATTAATTAAATTTATTTGTTCACAATTAAATTAAAAATAATAATGTAACAAAAGTGGAATCAACAAAGTTTCCGTACGCAAAAATTTTATATTAAGTATATATATTTTTTTTTTTAATTAATAGTTGGTTCTTCTTTTACGAGCGAAAAGAGAGAAAGAGAGAGAGAGAGAGAAACGTATACAAAAAAATTTATCTTTAATTGAAAATAAAATAAATGAAAAGAGACAGAGTACCAGCAAAGTTTGTCTGACCAATAATTGTCATTACTACTTGGATGTGCCACATAAAATTGCCGTTTTGTACGTGAAAATTGAAACACTGTATTTAAGAAAAAATAAAATCCACTTCGTCAAAATATGCACAATTATTTAGCGTTAGCCATTTTCTTTCAACTAAATAATATATGTCATTAAAAAAATCTTTTTTAATTTGGCATTTTTATATTGCACAAATTGCGCAAATTCCGCAATTACTGATTCTCGATTGGACATTGTTTTATTGCTTTTTGAATGATCACCAAATAGCTCTTTCGCCGACAAAGCCCTCTCGAAAGATTGAATTGACAATTTCTCAGCTGCATCATGTACCAATTAAAATTCATAGAAAAATTTGCAATTCTTTTGTTCAAACACTGTTCGCGTCTGTTGTTTTTTTTTGTTGCAAGATATCGTTTATCTCTGTGGAAACAATATTAGCAATTGACAAAAAGAGCTTGCTTATCAAAGAAAATCGAATTCTTATAAATTATTAGCAGTGCAACCAGAAATATATTTTCTATCGGCTTTACTAATCGCGGTCAATTGTCAATTGGTTGAATATCGGCAAAAATTCATGTGACATACAATCCGCTGTATTTCTGTGAGAGGGCGAGTGAAAATAGAAAATGAAAAAAAACAGAGAAATGAAAAGCTGATAATATAATTATCGCGATGGAAAATGCAGTCGGGCGGACATTTACCTTTGAGTACATCAAGCTGAGAGGCAGGCTGATGGCGATGCTGAGGATCCATACAAAGCTGATCTTCAGGGTCACTCGCTTCTTGGTCTTGTTACGTCCAAACTTCATCGGGTAGCGCAGACTCAGGTAACGGTCCACGCTTATAGTGCACAAGTGCATAATACTCGCCGTGCAGAACAGCACGTCGAGGCAGATCCAGGCGAGGCAATAAACCGGCGGCAGCGGGAAGTATCCTGCGAGACAAAGGCGGAAGTGAATCATTCCCGTGTACACATTCGGAATGCGGCTAATTAAATCCTAACTCAATTAGCGATGTCTTGGCTCGCTCGGGGATAAATTTCAATTATCCCGACATACGTCCTCACGGTATTTTATTTACGCGCAACGGAGTCGCTGAATATTTTTCATATTACATAGAATTTAACATTGTGCTCCTTTCGCAGAATTAGAATTAGAAATTTAATGTCGAATAAAGATAATGTTTCCTGTTGTTATGTAAATATTAATTTTATTCAAAATTTAATTCTTAATTCTAATTCTACAAAACTATTGCAAAATAGTAAAATCGAATAGTTGTGATTTAATACACAAAGTTTATTAGTTAATAATATGTTTATTTTATTAATTTATAATTATATAATTTATAATTATTATAAATATCTTTTACGCTCCAACATCCGCGCTTTTAGTTTGTATAAATTTTTTTGTTATCGTTTTTTCTCGAAAAACCACTGCCTTACATTAATAACGTTAAATTACACGCTCGAAATTTATTCTGTTAAGCTGTTAATTATTGGAAAATTAATTCATACAATTTTACATGCATAAAATCATATAAATTTTTAACGTATCATAATATGTGAGTGTTATGTAACATGTAATTTTGCGGTCTAAAACATTTGGGAAAATTTATTTGTCGCAAAATCTGCAATTTTCCGTTCCCTCCGGTATAAAATATAAAATTTCGCTCCACCATTAAAGAGATGTTAAAATTAAATTAGTATTGATTGTCAATGTTGAAATTGTTAGTACACTACTTCCTCTGGCTTCTTAGTACAATGTAATATCGTGGTGACATCGATACGCCGGTTTGCCGGCATGCACGACAACGATAGACAAGCAATTTGCATGCGTAGTTTGTTAAGTAAACTTCGTAAAGGGCGCGGCAATTTTCCTTTAATCTTCGCTAGATTGCATTCCGGGCAATTCGGAGCCATTCGATATTAAGTTTTCAGTTTGCCCCCGATGATGATATGCAGAAATGGCGTAATATTATGGCAAATATTAGTGAGAGAGAGAGAGAGAGAGAGAGA